ACCCTCCCCTCCTGCTCTGGCCCTTCCCTCCTGCTCTGACTCTCCCCTCCTGCTCTGACCCTCCCCTCCTGCTCTGGCCCTTCCCTCCTGCTCTGGCCCTTCCCTCCTGACCAGGGGACCCCAGGTCAAGCTCCAGCATTTGTTCACTCCTTTGTCCATTCACTGATTCACTCATTCCTTCAGCAAATAGGCCCTGAGCCAACTTCAGGAGTGGCACTGGGCACTCAGAGAGCAACAGGGACAGCCTGGCTGGGCAGTGGAGCACCCTCAGGCCCAGCCTCTAAGTCAGCCCTGGAATGACAGGCTGACTGCCCAGCTGTCCATGGGGCCTGGGGTGGGGCCCAGCTATAGCCTGGCCACTGGCCCTTCCCTCTGACCCACCCTCTAGAGTGTGGACATTTCTTCTTGGCAGAGTCTCTAAACCCAGCCTGGCACAAGGTGGATGCCCCTCCTGCTGACGGAGCGAGTGTCCCTTAGCCCTACCCCCAGTCTCCTGACAACACCCCCCACACTTGGCGATTGCTGCCACCATCAGCTCATGGACCGCAGTGTCCCAGCCCCGGGGGACTGAGAGGGCTCCTATTCTCTGGACACTCCCAGCAGCGTCTTCCTTGGGCCAGCACATGCTTGGATCACATTGGTGACTCCCCGAGGTCCCGCTTCCTCCCCTCCCAACGGTGCGAAGCCCCGGGATGCTTCTTGGGCAGGTGAGTCACAGACTCTACGCTGAGGTGTCCAGGAAAGGGGCCCGCCCCACCCATGGGTCAGCCTCTCTGCTCCTGACTCTCCCCTGGAACCCGCCCCACACAGGCCTCTGGCCATCTTGCAACCGCCTTCTCCCAACTTTCGCTGAACGCTGCTCCCCAGTGGCACCGGGTCAGGGGTGGTGCAGACCCCTCAGGGAGACACACAGCCCTTCGTGGGATCTCAGGGTCTGGGCTCCACCTCTGCCTGGTGCCCTGTCCCTGTGCCTCCCAACGTCCACTCACTGTGCAGACCCAGGCAGGTGGTGAGGGCACTCGTTGGCACAGGACCACACCGCCTCTGCAGCCCCCTGAAGATCTGGCCAAGAGCCTGCTCGGGCTCGGAGGTCCAAGGCTTCTCCTGGATCCTGTGGCCACAGAGGAAGCCTGGGTGCTTACCTCGTCCGCACAGACCTGCCGGGACCTGGCCCAGAGGCCCTCAGGCCACCCAGCCTCTCACCTGTCTCGGAATTCAGGTGTCAGAAAGAGACACTGCAGGAGGGCGTTGAGGTAGCAGGTGAGGCCTTGATTGATGAGACCCGCAAAGCGGGCTCCACCTAGGATGACCGTGGCCAAAGCCTTCTGAACTCACAGCCTCTCCCCCAAGAACTGGAGGCGCCCCCAGTCTCAGAGAGGGGGCCTCTGACTTCCTTCCTTTTCACACTGGGCTGGACACAAGCCTGGGAGCTCCCCACTCACCAGGCAGAGGGGTCCAAGGGGCCTAGGGCCTTTGCCCTCTGTCCTTTCCTTTTCCACTGCCCACAGTGGCAGCAGCCTCCTTCAACACACTTCAGGGCCAGCACCATCCCAGAGGGCTCTCCCTGGGGCCCCTGCCCAGAGACCCAGGAGTCCTACCTGGAGCCTCCTGGCTGCACTCGGTCTCCGCATCTGTCCAGCCTGTGGTGACAAAATGCTTCAGTGCCCACAGGGGCCCCGAACAGTACAGCGCAACAGCTTTCGCCTTTTGCAGAACCTGCCGCAGCGGCTCCATTCCAGATATGCTTGCCCAGAGGGTGCTGCTGCCGCAGGCCATTGAGGGAAGTCCTGTCTGGGTGGCAGGTGCTGGGAGAGAAGCTCTGGGTTCCCTGGAGCTCAGCATCCACCCCGGGCCCGTGCTGGAGGTGTGGACTTACCACGACCGTCTCTGTGGGTCACGGCATCACGGCCCCGGCGGCCACGGCGAGGCTTCCTGCCCGAGGCAGCACCTGCAGCGCGCCGGTCAGCAAATACGTTTGCCTCACGGTTTCCACACCAGCATGTCCCTGCGGCGGCCAGGGAGACAGGACTCAGGGCTCTGTGCTGACTCCAGGCTGGTGTGTCCCACGGACAGGTGTGACTGCTCTGAGCCCAGCACATGTGAAAGGCACCCCAGGAAACTGAGGAGGAACTGGGGCCAGGAGCAGCAGTGACACTCACACCACCAGGCCACCACACGAGAGCCCCAGGCAGCTGCAGCGTCCCGGAGGCGCTGAGCACGGGCAGCCCGGGCCCTCCCCAAGGGACAGTTAATGTTCTTTTGGTTTAAGGAGAAAGTGTCAGTGGAGACCTTGCTCTCCACACAAGACCCCTCCAGGCACAGGTGGTGCCCCCTCCCCTGCCACATGCACAGTGCAGCCTCCTGGCCGGGCTGCACACCCCGGCCTCCCGGAGCCAGTCTCTGTGCCGGCCAGGACACAGGCGCCAGAGCAGCAGAGAGGCCGGGCCGCGGGAAAGGAAGGCAGCACGCTGCAGGCCAGCGCAGCTCCCACGCTGCGAACCGAAGACACCGTAAGGGGAAAAGGGCAGGGATTCTACCCGGCGAACGAAAGCGATTCATGGCACGGAGTCCAGAGGCCCTCACCCATCTGGAGGCATGTTCCCTGTGCGGCAGGACAAAGTCTCGCCCTGGCTGCCTTCTCTGGGCCACTGGGGTGGGGGCCAAGGAAGGATGGGCGTGGGGCTCCCTGTTTGTGCTGGGGCGAGTTTCAGTTTCCTTCTCCTCTGCAGAACATTTCTGAGAACTCCCCGCCCTCTCCTTCCTGTGTGGGTGCTGGAGGGGGAAGGGGGACTGGGAAATCCTGGGGGGTGAGGAAGGGGCCCCAAAGGGGAAGCCCACTGCCCTTTCCCCTGTCCCGATCTGGGCACTGCCCCTGCCCTGCATGGCCCTGAGGGGTGGGCTCCAGCCACTGCACCCTCCTGCCCCCATGGCTGGCCTTGGGGCTGCAGGTGGGGAGACAGTCCCCCATGCAGTGCAGAGCACATGGAGGCAAGCAAACAACGCCACTCCCCCAAACCGAAAATTCCTCATCTGGAGACAGACAGGCAGGAGGAGCCTGGGAACGCCTGGCCCTGATCTTGGCTTCTGCCTGAGGGTGGGACTCCCCATGCGCTGGCCTGGAGGCGGCACTGCCTGGGGGACCCTCCCCTCCCTGGTGCCTGCAGCTCACCAAGCGTCCGTTTTGGACATCAGGGTCGATGTCCACCCCAACTTTGCCCCATTTCCCTAGCTGGAAGGCCACTGGGAGCATTGCCCTGCATCAGAGATGGGGTGCACCCCTGGGGGCCCCCTTCCTGGCAGCCCTTGGGGTGGGGTGGCCCAGGCAGCTCCCCCAGTGGGCGGGACAGGGGTGGGTAGGGGTGGGGCTGGAGCCTGAGCTGCTGGCTGCTCCTGCCAGCTGTGGAGAGTGCAAGGCCAGACCGTAGCCCCAGGGCCCCCAAGCCAGCTCCCCATGAGCCACAGCGCCCCTGAGCCCCCGCTCAAGTTCGTGCAGGGCAAAGATGAGATAACTGGTGAGTCCGGGCAGACACGGTGGTGGGGTGGGATGGGGTCGGGGAGTACTAGATTTAATTAGAGGCTTGCATTTGGACTGGAAAGGTGATGTAAAAGGAGTTCCTCCCCATCACCCCCCAAGTTCCTAAACTTGAAAACAAGCTGCTGGGGTCTGAGAGAACCTGGCTTACAGCCAGCTTCCTGGCGGCTTCCACACTGGGCAGACACAGGACTGAGGAAGGAGCCTGGGATCCCCAGAACCTGGGTTTCCCAGAACCCCAGACACCCGGGACCACGGTGACTGGAGTTGGGGGACCAGGAGAGGGTGGTGAGAGGTGAGGTCAGTGGCGGGTGGTGGCTGCAGGGGGTGGAGGGAGGGGAGGGCTGAGAACTTCTGCTGGGAGGGTGTGGATGTTGATCCTAGGAACTGGGTCATTCTTGTCATACTCGGCCAGAGAGCTGAGAAGCCAGGGGGGAGACAGCACTCAGAACACAAAACATCACTCCAAACACCCTTCTCGGCGAGCCTGGCAGCTGAGAACGCCGCCGGCTGTAACCTGAAGTCTGTTTTATCTCCTGACCCGGGAGTCTGGCTACAATACTCAGACGAGTTTTCCACACCACGGGGAGCACTCCCTGGTCAGCGCTTGCCAGCTCCTCGGAACCTTACCAGTGCCAGTGAAATGAGCGATGCAGAAGGCACTCCTTCTCACCACACCTCTCCTTTCCATAGCGCCTCTGACCTCCCCTGCTCTTTCAGGCACAGGAGGCTGAGCCTCCAGGGTTCACAAACTCTTCACTGGAATAAAGTCCCTTTCCTCCAGATTCCTTTTCAGAGAACTTTGGTTCACAAGGGTCTTCCCTGGGCAAGGCCAGAGCAGGTGGGGACCTTGGGGGGACCTTGGGGAGGTGGGGAGGAGCCCCCAGGGTATGACACCCCTCCCCGCAGGGTCTGGGAAAAGTGGGGGGAAATAAATCCAGCGTGACTCCAGAGCTCCAGGCTGGAGCAAAGGGGCCGAGGAAGGGCCCCACTTCCAAGATGGGAGGACCCAAAGCCAGAAGCCTGGGCTGTGTTAGCCACACGTGGCTCGGTGCTGGACGCAGGGCCAGGAAGAGCAGCGGGCCCCCTAGGACCACCAGGGATCCCCACAAGCCAGGCCCTCCAGGGTCCCAGCTGCCAGGCATGGGCTCAGCTTCCCCACCCTGTCTCTGTAGTCAAACAGGCTCGGGGAGAAAGCAAGCCTTCCCAGGCCCAGCAGAGCCAGGGATGAACCCACAGCCTCCAGGTGCCCCTCCTCCCTCTGCGCTGGGCTCATCTCGAGTGGAAGTCCCCAGAGGCTCTGCATAGGAGCCTGGGGAGGGGTCACCCTCCATTGTGCACACATGCTGGACTTCTCCTCATGCTCCCCGGAGCCTGGTCCTGCACACAGGACTCTGTCCTTGGCTGCTTCTAGACCACTTTCTCAGGGACCCCCATTAAATCTGGGGCACGGAGACAGCACTCAGAACACAAAACATCACTCCAAACACCCTTCTCGGCGAGCCTGGCAGCTGAGAACGCTGCCGGCTGTAACCTGAAGTCTGTTTTATCTCCTGACCCGGGAGTCTGGCTACAATACTCAGACGAGTTTTCCACACCACGGGCAGCACTCCCTGGTCAGCGCTTGCCAGCTCCTCGGAACCTTACCAGTGCCAGTGAAATGAGCGATGCAGAAGGCACTCCTTCTCACCACACCTCTCCTTTCCATAGCGCCTCTGACCTCCCCTGCTCTTTCAGGCACAGGAGGCTGAGCCTCCAGGGTTCACAAACTCTTCACTGGAATAAAGTCCCTTTCCTCCAGATTCCTTTTCAGAGAACTTTGGTTCACAAGGGTCTTCCCTGGGCAAGGCCAGAGCAGGTGGGGACCTTGGGGGGACCTTGGGGAGGTGGGGAGGAGCCCCCAGGGTATGACACCCCTCCCCGCAGGGTCTGGGAAAAGTGGAGGGAAATAAATCCAGCGTGACTCCAGAGCTCCAGGCTGGAGCAAAGGGGCCGAGGAAGGGCCCCACTTCCAAGATGGGAGGACCCAAAGCCAGAAGCCTGGGCTGTGTTAGCCACACGTGGCTCGGTGCTGGACGCAGGGCCAGGAAGAGCAGCGGGCCCCCTAGGACCACCAGGGATCCCCACAAGCCAGGCCCTCCAGGGTCCCAGCTGCCAGGCATGGGCTCAGCTTCCCCACCCTGTCTCTGTAGTCAAACAGGCTCGGGGAGAAAGCAAGCCTTCCCAGGCCCAGCAGAGCCAGGGATGAACCCACAGCCTCCAGGTGCCCCTCCTCCCTCTGCGCTGGGCTCATCTCGAGTGGAAGTCCCCAGAGGCTCTGCATAGGAGCCTGGGGAGGGGTCACCCTCCATTGTGCACACATGCTGGACTTCTCCTCATGCTCCCCGGAGCCTGGTCCTGCACACAGGACTCTGTCCTTGGCTGCTTCTAGACCACTTTCTCAGGGACCCCCATTAAATCTGGGGCACTAATGACAACAGGGGCAGGCGCTGCTCAAACCCGAAGGTCAGACTCAGTACGTGGGAAGCTGAGCCCTCCCTACCTCCTCCACTGGCTCCTGTGCTGAAGATCTCTGTGATGGAGGTGGCACCATCCTTCCCTCTCCATCCCACGCTGTGGAGCGGCTCTCCCTGGGCTCACGGCCCCACTGTGTCCTTGACAGCCAACACCTGAGACTGCCCCCTGAAGGGCTGCTGAGGTCCCCATCCCTGCCCTGTCCTGCTGCCACACCCAATCCTGGCCTTGCTGCCCTCCCTGCAATCTGGTGACCAGCCAGGGAGGCCAGGAGAAGGGGGTGGCCATGGCAGATGAGGCCTGAGGGGTGGGGCAGGGTGGGTGGGGGCTGAAAAGGCACAGGCACCTGCTCTAGTGCCAGGAGCAGCCCAGAGAGGAACCCCACAGAGATGGCCTACCCTGCAAAGGGCCCTGGCTTCTCTGTGTGCACCGGGGACAAGGCTGTGTGCTCAGGCCAAGAGGGAGTGGTGGAGGGAGAGGAAGGACCCTGGATGAGGAGGCTGAGGGACTGTGCTGTCCCCCGACAGCCCTGGCAGAGAACAGTGTGGACTGGGGGTGCCAAAGTCCTGCTGCACTGTGCCCTTGACGAAGACCCTTGGCCCATACAGGGGATGAGTATGACGGTGTGGACAGGGTGGAGATGAGCTGTGGGCATGCAGTGGACCCAGAGAACCTGAAGCTCTGGTGCCTCCAGCTGATAAAACAGGTAGGGGCTCGGCCACAGCCATGC